CTCCCTGCGCTGCTCCCCCACGGGCTGCTGTGTCCACCCAGGCCTGCACCTCTTCACACAACACCGAGAGGGGCCCCATTCCCTAGGGAAGGGACGGGATGCGGGCCAGTGCTTTGCTTTCCCACACCGCCCCGATGGGGCATGGCAGTGCTGAGGCTCTTTACATTGGGACTCCAGCCACATTCAGCTCCCCATTCCCTGGGAGACCATGAGGGATTGGGTATCAGATGTGCCACTTCCACCCTGTCTCTGTCCACCTTTGGGAGCCCTGTTTGATGCCCCTGCCCTACAGCTCACCGAAGTGCCTTCTTCCACCCCCCTTGGCTGGGCTCCCAGCGGCTCCTTTGTGTCTCCCCTCTCCTTCCTCTCCTCTTCTGCAGGGCCTTTATGTAGGGATTATTAACCATGGCTACGGGGCCTTTGTTTAGGAGGGGCCAGGAGCCGGGCAAGGGGCTGGGCGGGCAGAGGAAGGAAGGACGTGAGCGGAAGCGGGGAAGGAAGGTGACATCTGGATTTCTGTGCTGGAGGAGCGCAGCCTCCCAGGGCAGCTGTGCAGAGACAGCCCCAAAGAGGGGCCAAGCTGGGACACCCAGCCCCACACCATCCCCAGCACAGCCCCCTGGTGATGGTGCCGTGGGCACAGCACAGACCCATAAACCCAAGGCTGCGAGGGCTGGTTTGTGGCGTGCAAGTGATGTGGCTTGGTGGAAGGCTGTGCAACCTCTTGTGCCCTGTTGGGGACCCAAACCTTGCTGTGTGCGTGGTGCATGGACCAAGACAGCTGGGGAGTGAGCGCTGACTGAGACCAAGCCATTAGGCCTTAGTTAATAACTACTTTTTAGCATAGGATTTAGCACTCAAACAGGACTGCTCGCTTAACAGCAGGCTCTGAGGGTGGGAACCTGCCCTTCTGGTAGGCAGGATAAACCATGCATTAGAATTCGGGCCTGTAGACCGCTTGCAGCTGCTTCTGTAAATTGCTTCTAAGCAGGAGCATCCCTCATGGTAAGATAGGACAACAATTTGAACAAAGAACTAAGCACACAGGTATTAGCAGTTGAAAGCTAAAAGGCAACTGATAGACTGTCATCATAGCCATACATACCCCAAGTGTGCAGAAGGGTAAGAGGACTACGGTTCTATAACTTACCCAATTGTATCTGGGGATGCTTCAGATGAAATCATACCAAGGTGAGAGTGCAAAGTGTAAAACCCCTTGAAACTTGCTGTGCTTTGGAGACGTGGATGGAGGTTTGAACCCCTGGCACCAATAAAGGTCTGTGTGTGCAGTAGGTGCAGCAGTGCATCCACACAGTGCCCTCTCGCTCGCACGTGTAGCACGTGCATTGCTTTGGGGCTGGGGGCTGACGGGGCAGCAGGGGGAAGCTGGAAGCATAGGGATGGCTATTTATAAACCGGCCTTTTCCTTCGGAAGACTTCCGAGTTCATCTCCCCCCCCCCCATCCCCTGGCCGGAAAAAGGCCCCATTGTCCTGGCGCCAGATGGGCCGGGGCTGGGCACTCGCCCTGCACAATGGGGTGGATTATGCACCCGGATGGTGGGAGTCCGGCACTGGGATGCCCGCGAGGAGCAGCTGCCATCAACACCCATGCAGCAGCCCCATGGTTGGGCAGGCAGGGGCCTGGACGTGCTTATTCCTCACCCTGCTAATGAATGGCACGGCTCTTGTGCCACAGCTCCCTGGAGGAGCACGGAGGAGGAACACCCGTGTCCTGTGCTCATTGCACTGAGCAGTGTGCTTCCCGCTACCAAAGAAGGGAGGAGAAGCCAGCAGAGGGGACCAGCATCATTCCCTGTGCTTACCCTGCAGCCCCAGGGCGCTGACGTCTTCATCCTGGCTTTGTCTGTAAGGTTTGGCGCTCCCCCAGGACAGCTCATTGGGAGTCACTACAAGAAAGCAGAAGGAGAAATCAGCCCCAGGCAGGTGGTGAGGGCAGCCCCAGCTTTGGGGAGCACCTCTCATCCCCAAGGGCCTTTTGGAGAGCTTTAGGGAAGGCTCCCTGCTGCTGCGAGGACACACGGAGTAGAGGCAAGGACAGATGGGAGAAGGCAGTGAGCCGGGCACAGCCCCCATGGCACCTCCATGTGCCACCAGCCCCGCACCCTGCTCGGCCCCACAGCACTGGGGACATGCCAGAGCACCAGGGCCCTGGGGAGATGTGTGGCCGGCGCGGCCAAGCAGGGACTTCTCCTTGCGGGACTTTCCCATGGAAGAGGACTTGCTTTTCCCAGGGCTGTCTGGCCGGGCTCCAGGAGGAGAGAGATATCCCAGCTCCCTCTATGGGGATCCACACAGCCTCGTGCTATCACTCTGCAGGGCAAACAAAGGCAGGGAAGGTGCCTGCTGCTGGGAACACAGCGGGAGATGGGCACCTCCAGCTCCTATGGGCTCTCCCCGGCACCCTCATCCATGCGGGGCGGATGCCAAGGCCATTCCCTGCCAGCAGGGATGCGTGCAGTGTGGGACAGCATCACCTGCGCCTCCAAGGCTAGGCGAAGGCCAGAGGAAGAGTGAGCCACGGCATCCTGGAGCTGAGCCCAAGTGGGGACGGGGACTTCCCTGGAGCGGATGCACGGGAATGAGCTATTGTTCCAGCCTGGCCTGTGAGCACGGGGTGCAGGCACCCGCTAAGGGATCTGCCCAGCCCCTTGGCAAGGGCATCGTGAGGGGAGCTGAGGTAAGGATGCTGGCAGGAGGACCATGCTGGCTGCTGCATGGCCAAGGGGGTGCGATGGTCCCAGCCGCCTCGCCATTCGTGAGCATGCTGGGAGCACTGGTGTGATGCCAACAGGACCCACATCCCAGAAACACCCTTCCTGCCTCAGGGCAGGAAGCACCCGTGCAGCAAGGGCCTAGGAAAGCTGGGTAAGATGCTGGGGCTGGGGAAGCTGCACATCCCCCCTATGGAGGCAGGCCTGGAGGGAGCCACCGTGGTCCCCAGCACCATCTCCCAGCTCTGTGGCTGCAGGCTGCGCTGCCAGCCCTTTGTCTGCCTCATTCTTCCCATTCCTTTGCCACCCACAGCCTGTTCCCAAGATACAAGGCAGCCCTGCGCTGCTAGCATGGTCCCAGGCTCCACACAGCCTGGACACCAGAGCACAGGGTCAAGCAAGCTCCTCAAGCACTGTGACCCCCAGCCCTGGGGCTGCTCCCTGTGCTTCCAGCTAAAAGCCCTATAGCTGCCTTCATCCCGGTGCTCTGTTTTCCCGAATGCGGATCAGCTGCCTGGCTGCGGTGAGCTCAGCACCGGGAAGGCAGCTCAGAGGCATGATGCAGCAGCAGCTCTGTGGCCAGGCTCAGTGCCAGCATAGCCAGGCAGGGTACACGCAGGGCAGGTAGGGATGAACACATCCTGGCTTCCTTCACCCCCAGGGTGGGCTGCAGTGGCACTGCTTAGCACCAGTGCAGCCCAGTTTATGGTAGAGCCTTTTCTATGTAGAAACACTGAGGAGATGATGAGGAGAGGGGGCTCACAAGCCTGTCCTGCTGCTGGCAGCTGCCACGGGCACAACTGGGAGCCGGTGGCATCATGCCCAGACCTCCAGCAAGTGCAGGGACAGCTGGGGGGACCCTCCTCGTCCACACACCCTGCCAGGGACCTCTATCCCCAAAGCAGGGCTCTAGGAAGGTGCTCCCCATCCCCTCCATAGGGAGCCCTGCTCTGCTCTGCTCCAGTGTTCAACCTGAACCGATCCCCCGGGTGCTCCCAGCCCCTGCAGCTCTCCTCGCCCCTGAGCCCTGTCCCTCTCTCCAACGGGTCTGGATGCTGCGGAGCCGCACAGGAGCACAGGCTCCCCTCTGCCCTCCGGAGCAATGATGGAGAAGCCCCCTCTATGGAACCACGACCCTGCAGCCGCTGCATGTCCCCGGCCCCGCAGCGGGGAGAGCCTGCAGGGATGCAGGTGCGCTGCCGGCGGCAGGGAAGGAGCGGACCGCGCCCAGCTCCCGGCTCTTCGCTTTCCTGCTCCCGTTCGGTGAAGCGCTGAGGAAGCCAAACATTACCATAAATGCCGAAAGCATCCTGGCTCCGTGACGCGGGCGCTCACACCGCCGAGGGGGGGGGGGTCAGGCAGGGAGGGGACGGGGCTGGAGGGGAGCCAAGCCGGCAGGACACACAGCCCAGCCGGGAGGGGACGGACGGACACGGGTGGCACCGCGCAGCATCAGGGTGCCCCTGCTCTCAGCGCTACGCTTCAGGAAGGGGACCCCAGTGTCCTGCTCCCTCGGGGCTCCTGCCTTGCTGCCCAGGGGGACAGAGCCGGTGCCTCCTCGGGCTGCAGATGTCTTTAGATGTCTTCGCCGTGGGTCATCCGCTCTGCTCGCTCTCCCCTTCCTTAAAAAGCCTTGGGCTCCAGGGCTGGGTTTCCCAGAGCTCGTCATTGCCCTCGGAGCGCCGGCAGCCCCACGCCCTGCCCGAGAGCCGGCGGGGAGGGCAGGAGCTGCTCTAAGGCCGTAACCTTGGGCCGGGTCACGGCCATGAGTTTATTCTTAGACCTCCTGCAGGAAACTGCCTGCTGGTGTGAGAGCGGCGCTGCCCCGGGCTGACCCTGCCCCAGACACTCCATCCATCCCTTGCGAGAGCAAAACCTTCCCCGTGCCGGCGCTGAGGCCGTCACAAACTCATCACAGGTGCTGCCCCAGGCATCCCGTGGGTGCTGGTACCCACCCGCGCTGCCTGGAACCAGGGTGAGGGGGATCAATCGTGTCCCGGACACCGCGTTCTCTGTCCCCGCCCGCTGCGCCCGCACTGCTAAACGAGGGCCGCTGGCCCTTTAAGTGTTCGCGGTGGGCGTGGCCTATTAGACACGCCCCCTCCGCGTCCTCCGAACCGACCAATGGACAGCGGGGAGAGGCGTTGCCCTCGGCGCCGATTGGCCCGGCGCCGCGCGAGCAAGATGGCGGCGCCCAGCGCCGGGGGTCCCCGAGCGGAGCGCCGTTAACGGCCCCGTACAGGCCCCTCCGGGGCCCCCGGCGCCGCCATGGACCTGCTGTTCTTGCTGCTCCGCGGGCTGCGGCTGGCGCTGGACCTGCTGCTGCTGCTGCTGGACGTCAACTTCCTCCTGGTGTCCTCGCTCGTGTCCGCGCTGTTCTGGCTGCTCGCCGCCGTCTGGAGCCTGCCCGCGGCCGCCACGGCCGGCGCGCTGGCCTGCTGGGACGGGCTGCTGCTGTCGCTGGCCTCCGTGGAGCGAGCGGCGCTGGGCGCCCTGCAGGGCCTGGCCGCGGCTCTGCGCGGCTGCTGCTGCGGCCTGGAGGGGCTCAAGGTGCTGGGGCACCTCCTGTCGCACCTGGCGCTGCGGGGCAAGGAGCTGCTGCACCGTGAGCTCTGCGGGCTGCTGGGCTGCGGGCAAGTGGTGGCCAGGCACGTGTGCGAGGGCCTGGCCATCGGCACCAGCCTGCTGGCTTACCTGGTCAACAGCCTGGTCAACGTGTGCCTCATCGGCACGCAGAACCTCTTCACCCTGGCCGCGGCGCTGTGGGATTCCCTCGCCAGCCCCTTGCTCAGGGTCACCGACCTGCTGGCCGCTTTCCTGGCTCACATCTCCAGCGGGGCCATCGCCGTGTCCATCCTGCTGTGGTCCCCGTGCCAAATGGCCTTCGAGCTCCTGGCTGCCATCGCCCAGCTCTTCGTCACCACCTTCTTCGTGAATATCTACGGCCTGGGCTTGCTCATCCTCATTATTGCTGTCGGCGCCTTCGTCTTCAACCCAGGGCTGCTGTGGACGCTGACGGACTGCGTGCTGGGTTACTTCAACACGCTGCCTTCCTACCACCGCCTGCAGCGGGACGTGTGGCGGCTCTATCAGGTGGCAGTGCTGACGCTGGGTATGGCCATGACCTCGCAGACCTGGCGCAGGGTGGTGGACTGGAGCCTGCAGGTGACCAACTGGAGCCAAGGGGGCAGAATGGTGAACAGGGAGAGCAACCAGCGAGGGGCAGCTGAGCCTGCCCTGAGATACGCAGCTCCTGGCAGGCCGATGCTGGCAGGGGTTGCTCAGTGGCCTGCAGAGCATGAGGATGATGAGGATGCTGAGGATGCTGAGGAGGTACCGCAAGCGCGCCCTGCTCTGGGTCGAAGCGTGTCAGGACAGCGTCTGCAGCCACACAGGGAGGAGCCGGGTACCTCCTGGGGGAAAGCTCAGAGGAGGCAGCAGCTGAACGCAGGGGCTGGGGATGCGGATAACGACCCCTGGATGCTCCTGAAAGAACAAGAGGAACGCAAGAAATGCGTCATCTGTCAAGACCAAACTAAGACCATCCTGCTTCTGCCCTGCAGGCACCTGTGCCTGTGTCAGGAGTGCACAGAAGTCCTCCTGCAGCAGGCCATCTACCAGCGCAACTGCCCACTGTGCCGCCAGATGATCCTCCAGACGCTCAACGTGTACTTGTGAGCCCATGGGGTGGGTGGCTTGGGTCACTTGGGCACCTCACCCCTGTCTGCCTCTTGCCAGGAAGCAGAACTTCCCAGGGCTGCTTTGAGCAGCTTCCAAAGAACTAAGGATGGTGCTGAAAGGGCAAAAGGCTTTTAGGGGTGTCTGCTAGCCACGTTTGCTACGGAACTAACTGTAGCTCTTGCTAGCAAGCACCATAACTGATCTCTGCAGCGGGCTCAGTTATCTTTCCTTTTGTTGACAACTGCTGTTCCAGGGCCTGTTGCCTGCAGCAGTCTCAGTTTCAGAGTGCCAGAAGGATGCTCTGGTTCCTTCTAGCCAAAGGTGGTGGCAGGTTTCAATGCTGTGCCCTCCTGGGAGTCAGAGGAGCTGGTGCAAGGTAAAGGGAGGATTTTTCCCAAGGTCTGCCCAGGAAAACCACCTGGCAGACTGCATTCAGGTCTCTGTTACCTCCTCCCACCATCTATGGGAGCTCATTGGGAAGGGAGATGTGTGCTCCCGTTGCAAGGCCCTAGGAGAGCAATGAGCACACTCGAGTTAAATGTGCTAAGCCTGGCTTTCAGCTAGAGAAGAGCAGGGTTTCTGGGGTTCTTTAGCATCCCAGCCACCATGGCTTTGGTTTTTGAGCTTCCTGTTCCCCTAGCCAGGACAATGAGGAGCTGTGACCATCGCAGGCTCCTTGCAGGCCATAGCTGACTGCAGAGCCCAGTGTTGCTGCTGCTTCCGTGCATCACCTATGCAAGACTAGCAAGCACACATCAGATTACTCACGTGGGGAGGCCAGAGGGAGTTACTTGTGCTGCTGCTGGGGAAACCCGAGGGCCCTGGCAGCACGCATCTGAGCCAATGCTGGAGAATCTTCTCTGGAGAACACATCTTCAGGCCCTTGGGACTGGGTAGCGCACACCAGTGCTTGCTTGCTGCCTCCCAGGCTGGGCTGCTTAAAGGGAGTCACGTTCTGGGAGGAGATTGGGACACCCCAAAGCCCCTGGGAGCCCATTGAGACATTCCCGCTCCAGGCACAAGTCCTGCATATCCATTGTGTGCATGGAGCAGTACCAGGACCATGGGATATCACTGATGAGGGCAGGGTTCCACTGTTACACTGCTGTTCTGTCTTCCTTGTCTGTCCAAAATGTAGCTAGTTTGATGGAAGCATCTCCTGTAAGCATCAAATCCCAGCTGGGAAGCCTGAGCTGGCTCATCCCAGCCTGGTCAACCAGCACCATTCCAATTACTGGGCTGCAGGAGGGCCTTGCACTTGAAAGCTTTTCCTTTTCCAGCAGCTTGCCTGAGGTCAGCCACGCGCCACAGCCAATATTGGCTGGAGCCAGGCTGGAAAGAGCCTTGACTCCTGCACTGCAAGCCAAGAGCCCGGGGGTGGCTGGCATGGTCTGCCTTCTCTCTTCTCCTTGATTAGTGATTTAAGCCAAAGCAGGCAGCAGAGAGGCCAGGCCATGCTAGGGGGTACCTCTGGGCTGTAAGCAAGATGCTGTCTTGGTGGGAGAGCGGCTTTGCTCTGGGAGGCACTGCAGGGGCTGGTTTACCCCATTGCCACGGGCTCTGGAAGCACTCCCTGGGCTCCAGAGCATTAGCAGGGCCTGGTCCTAGGGCTGTCAGCTGCTTCCACCTCACTCTGCAGAGATACCCTGCCCAAGCCCTTGTTGCTCAACCTCTTGTCCCTGTGCCTCCCCAGACAGCACCCACGTTAATGTTTGCTCACTCCAACCCCGTCCCCTGTGGCTGCAGCCGGTGATGCTTTGCAGTTGAGTAGCCAAGCCTTTACCAGAGCAGCGAGTGCAACCCCACCACATTCCTGCATTCCACAGGCCCTTGCAGAGGTCATCCTTCAGGTGTGCCTGTGGAGACACCCAGCAGCAGGAATGCGGCCGTGCTGCAGGCTGTGGTGTTCGGTCAGGGACCACCTCATGGTGCAATGTTTCCTATGTGAATTACAGGGAGGAAAGGCTGCCTCCCCAGGACTGCAGTTTCTCCCCTTAAACCCTTTTTTCTATTATAATACCTATGCTTTTTGGTTTAGGGCCTGTTTGTTTGCTGCCTGTTTATAAAGGAAAAAGAGAGAGCTTTGCCTTAAGTTTAACTCTTTGCACTGAGCAGATTAAAACTCCTTTACCAAATGCTGTTTGATGCCTCCTTCTTGGAAAGGGTTTTCTCTGGAGGGATGGGGTCCACCCCTGAGCTCCCCAAGGGTCACAGCTGGAGGGGTGACACCACCAGCAAGCTATGGGGTACTTGCATCTCCAAAGGCAGAGCTGGATGGAGCCTTGAGCAGCCCAAAGCTGAGGGGCTTTTATTTCCCAGTGGCATTGGGTGCTTTCTGCATGTCCTCGACATCCTGCTGCTTGTGATGGAGGGCGATGCAAGCCTGACTGCCCCAGGGATGAAGGCAGCACCCAAAGCATCAGGAGCTGCAGAAGCTGTGGCAGGCTCAGCCACTGTGCTACCGGTGAGCAGTGCATTTGCTGCACGATGGGCTGCTCCTTGGCTGTGCTCTGAGCTCTTGGCACATTGCTGTGTGCTTTCAAGCACCCCCTGCTTCTCCAGCATCCTTGTAAATTGCTTGGAAAAACGCTTCAGGACCCTGATGGGGAGAGGTGCCAGGAGCTCTGGCTCATCCTGCCCTCAGCTCACCTGCCTTGGCAGGGCTAATCTGAACTGGGATGAGAACCATAGCAGGGAGAGATGGGGCTGCAGGAACAGAGCCCATTGAGCCCTAAGGGGGTCTGGCTGTGGATGGGTGACAACTGAGGCTGCAGAGCTACCCCAGGGCAGGAGAATGGAGCCAGCAGGACCATGCCTCCATCCCCTGCCTCGACAGGGTGATCCCAGCCCATCACTCCCCAGCCAGCCCCAGTGGGGGATGCAGAGGGTGCTCATCCACCTCAGGCCACTGCAGCGGAGCAAGGACAGGATGTGAAGGACAGTGCCTTCCCCTGGGAGCCGTGCTGCACACAGCTCAGCCCCTAGCCAAGCAGTAAGCCATTACAGGAGGGAAACACAATCACCTCCCAGCTGATGGGCAGTGCATAGGGTCCCTGTGCCTGCCTTCTCCAGCACTGTGGCTTTTGGTGTAGAGCTGCACTGCTTGGGGAGGGTACCCAGCAGCATCAGCACTCACAGACCAGGGTGTGAGATCTGGAGTCCCCGGGGTCCTCCCTGCTCCAGGGCTTGCTAGAGAGCCTTGCCCATGAGCTGAGTGGGCTGCTCTTAGCCCTAACGCTAAGAGTGAGGAGCAGGATGCTGCTGGGTTACTGCAGCTCAGGAGCTGACAGCTTGCTGAAAGCAGGGCCCCGCAGGCTCTGGGATGATCCCTTTGTTAGCCCAGCTGCACCAGCCCGTCCCTAATGAGCCGCTATTGCAGCCTGGTGGACAAGAGCCATCGCCTGCCTGACAGCAGGGAGCTGGCTCGACAGACGCTCGCTGCTCATGATAGCAGCCCAATGGGGAAGGAGCAGGTGATGCTCAGCAGCCGAACCATGGGGGGCCTTTGGGCTGCTCCCGGGCCCCAGCTTTGCTCCTTCATTACCAGCCCGGCACAGGGAGCCTCACCAGCTCCCCAAACACTGTGGCAATCCCCATTTAAGGCTCTCCTCACCTCGTCAGCTGGCCGAGGTCACCTGAAGATGACTGAGGGTGGTCCCTGCATCTCCTCAGTGATGAGGGCACCGAACCTGTGCCATTTAGGGGGGAGCAGCATCCATCCTTCTACTGTCAGGGGTCACCAGGGCAACCTTCACCATCGAGGGCATTTCCACTTTCAAACCTGCCAGGAGGATGCTCTGTTACCATAGTCAAAGGACTGAGCTCAGAGAGATGCAGCTGATCCCCTTAATGCCCTCTTTGCCACCATACAGCACTCCGACCTTCTCCACTTGCCAGCACGGCTCCGAGATGCACAAACCACACACCTCTTGCAGGATGCACCCTCAGCAGCTCAGTTATGGCCAGGCTGTGTCCTCCAGCATTGCAGCTCCAGTGGCTGTGACCTTGGTGTGCTGGAACTTTAAAAACCCCAAACACAAAGCAACCAAAAAGGGGGGAAAATAACCCCAAAAGAAGCCACCTTTCTGCCCACTCTGCTGCCTCCATCTACAGCACTTTATGGGCTGAGCCTGCCTCTTTTATAGGCTGCTGCCCTGCACTGGCTAAGGGATGCTGGTCCCTCCCTAACCTGGGCTCAGCTGGAACAGGGGCTTCAAGCACTCCTTCCTCAGGTGCAGCTTCTAGAGCTCATTAGAAGCAGCTAAACCATACCAGGAACATGCCACAAGTCAAGGTCTCCTGTGGCTCCCCTTACTGTTATCCTTCCCTTATCCTCTTCCTCCCAACAGCCCCACAATGATCCCAAAGTGTCCCAAAGACCAAAGAGAGCAGAGCCCAGAAACTGCTGTGCCTATGAGCTGCACCCCCCCACATTGCCATAGGGAGCAGAGGATGCTCCCAGCCCCACACCCCTTCCCCTGGCCTGCTCTCAAGTCATTTTCCTCCTCCCAGAATAGATCCCATGCCATCGATCCGCTCTGTGGTGCTGCATGCCCCTGGGAGGCTCTGCTTACGGAAAAGGCCATCCACAACCCAAACAAGACGCTTCCACTGCAACCCAATCCTGGCACTGGGAAGAGGAGCCTGCAGGATGGCTCCAGAGCCCCTCTGTTAGCTTCACCCTTGGTCCCAGAGCCTCTACAAGGCTTCATGGGTTAAGGGTGGTCCTTGGGATGCTGGGCTGCGCATCCCCCCCTTATCGACACAGCCTGACAGACTGCAGTGACATGCCCTTGGCACCAGGTCCCTGCCTGGTCCCCAGTCCCGTGATGGGGATCTGTGGGACTATGGGCAGCCCCTTTTGGACACCAGGTCCCTGCCTGGTCCCCAGTCCCATGATGGGGATCTGTGGGACTATGGGCAGCCCCTTTTGGACACCAGGTCCCTGCCTGGTCCCCAGTCCCATGATGGGGATCTGTGGGACTATGGGCAGCCCCTTTTGGACACCAGGTCCCTGCCTGGTCCCCAGTCCCATGATGGGGATCTGTGGGACTATGGGCAGCCCCTTTTGGACACCAGGTCCCTGCCTGGTCCCCAGTCCCATGATGGGGATCTGTGGGACTATGGGCAGCCCCTTTTGGACACCAGGTCCCTGCCTGGTCCCCAGTCCCATGATGGGGATCTGTGGGACTATGGGCAGCCCCTTTTGGAGGTGGTGCTGGCTCTCACACAGGGGCACAGGAGCCCCAGCTCCCAGCAAGGTTTGTTCATCGCCGATGGGCATGGGGATAGTGCACTTGTGGGGCAGGAGGGGAGCCGGTGCGGAGCTGCCCCATTGTGTAGACCCTGCTGCCATGGCAGGAGAAGAGCCCGGCCCAGCTGCCACCCGACGGCCAGGCAGAGCAAGCCGTCCCCAGCGATCTCCAGCAGCAGGGCCCATTAAGGACTTAGGCCGCTGTCCAAAAGCCCCCTCCCTGGCTGGAGCCCGCAGGGACCCATTTTGGGCAGGAATGAGGAAGCTCTTCATTCCCCTGCTAAAAATAGGGACCTTTCTCAGCGGCGGGTCACCGCGTTCACACTGCAGTGCGGGCCGGGCAGGGGGGGGGCCCCATCCCGGGCACCTCCCGCGGCGCTGGGGCGGCCGGTCCCCCGCTCAGGGATGCCGGCACCTCCATCTAGTGGCTCCCGCTGGCTCTGCCGCTGCGGCCGGCAGCCCATCACCGCTCCCTCCGGTCTCCCGTGGCGGCACCCCGTCGGCAGGACCCGGCACACGTGGAGGGGACAAGGAGCCCTTTATTGGAGGTGGAGGAGGAAGGGGAGGCGGAGGGCAGGGAGCTGGGGTGATGGGCAGGGTAGGTGCTAGCCCTATGGACCGGGTCCTATGGACTGGGTCCTATGTGTGGTGTGGGGAGAAGCTGGCAGCACCAGGGCATTGTGCCCGTGATGTCGAGGCGGCTATGGCGAGTTGCATACAACAGCCAGGTTACTGTGGCTCCCTGGCGCGGGTGTCCTGCCCCAGTCCCTGCTGAAGGGATGCTCCCCACCACAGCCGGGCTGGCAGAGGGGCTGTATCCCTGCCCTGTGCTGGGCAGCGGTCCTGGTTCCTCCATGGCTGGACCCCGGCATTGCCCTCCCCAGGGCACCAGTGGCTGGGGAAGGGGCAGGTACCCAGGTCCTGGCCCCAGCCAAGGGCAGGCTTAGGCAAAGACAGCCGAGTTTTGCCAGTAGGAATAGACAAGGAAGCCGGTGAAGGTGCTGTCCGTCTTGACGCTGGCGTAGAAGCCGATGTAGTCCCCGACACCAACCTGCACCCACACCTCATCCTCAGGCTCCAGGCGGACCAAGGCACCCCCAGAGAGGGAGGTGGGCTTGGGCCAGTTCCCGTAGTACTGGAAGAAGGAGGCGATGGACTGGCCGTTCTTCATGATGTCAAACTGGAGGCTGGCGCGGTACACCGTGGCGTGCACGGCGAAGTAGTAGAGGCCCGGCACCTCGCAGGTGAATTTGCCCGTGGCGGGGTCGTAGTGGCCCTGCTCGTTGATGAGCACCACGTCAAAGCGGATGGGCTGGTCAGCCAAGGGAGGGCTGCGGGACTCGGAGCGCTTGGCGCTGAAGGCTGAGCGGGGGGCCACTGCACACTCGCCCTGTGCCCCCTTCTCACCGTGCATGCCGTCCACACCGGGGCTGCCCACGTCCCCGCGGGGACCGGGCACTCCTGGGGCAGGCAGGAGGGGAGCAGGGTTACCTCTAAGCCACCAGCCCCCCCCAACCCCACCAAGGTTTGAAGCCTCCCATAGGATGCGGGTGGTGCATCATAAGCGGGAAGGGATAAGTGGAAGAGAGGGATGGCAGTTGGGGATGGGGAGAAAAGCATCTTTTGTGACAGGGACCTGCAGCACAGGCAGGACCAGAGGGGCATGGTGGCAGGGTTTGCTCTCAGTTTGGTAAAGTGGGGCTCCCCCCCTTCATTAAGGCATTCCCCAGAGGCAGGTCCCCATCCCCAGCCAGCAAGTCTCCTTTCTTACCCGGAGGGCCCATTTCGCCCTTCTCCCCCGGCATCCCCATCATCCCATCCCGGCCGTCTCGTCCATCTCTGCCTGGCAGACCCTGGCCCCCATGCAGGCCCGGGGTCCCCGGGATGCCCGGCTGCCCTGAGCACAGCCCAGGGATCTTGTTGTCTTCAATCTGCAAGGAGCTGGTGATGAACCCCAGGAGGAAGAGGAGGAAGAGCTGCTCCATCTCGTCTGCTGTGGAGGGGCTGGAAGGGGCAGAGAAGGGGAACGGCTCTGAGGACCTCAATGAAAAGGGCTGGGAAACAGATTTGCAGTGCTCAGCAGGGAGTGGGTACTGGAGGTTGATGAGGGATCGTTCCTCCCTTCTTTCCTCTTTGCCTTTCTGGCTGCACCTGCCACAACATCCCCATCCATCAGCAGTGCCACCACATCACCCTGCCTCACGCACCGGTGTACCCCGCCATGGAAGCGCCAGGAGGCATCTGCGGGAGGCAGCAGCTCCGTGCGTGTGGCTGGGTCTCTATGGGGTGGGAGCTGCCCCATGCCCGGCTATGGGTGTTCCTAGGGGTGCCGGCAGGGCTGCGGCGGCTGAGCTGCCGTGCATGGGCTGCGCTTGTTGCATCCGGGACGGCAGCTCTCCACCGGCCCAGCCCTTGGCAGCATCCCTGCTGCCGGCGGCTCGCTCCACGCCTGCCCGGCTCCCTGGGGCACGGCTGGGGCTGCAGCATCCCCGGCCGGGCCGGACCACCCCGCTGCCGGGCCCATCCCCATCCCTTCCCACCCCAGCGCAGCCACAGCGGAGCCCCACGGCCCCTTCCCCGTGGCCTTCCCCGGGGATCGCTGCTCTCTTCCCCCTCCTGGACGCGACGGGTGCAACAAAGAGGAAAAGGAGGAGGCAAAGAGCCTGTCCTCCGCCCCGGCGCTGGAGCCAGGACCCCGGCCAGTCCGCGCCGGAGCTGCTCATCCCCACTCACTGCGATCCCACGGCTCCTGCCCCGGTGCCTCGCTGCTCTCCGGTGTGGACGGGCTGCGGCTCTTCCTGACCGCTTCGCTCTGACGAAGGCCCGGGGAAAGGCAGCCTCTCTCCCCCCCCCTCCTCCTCCTCCTCCTCCTCCTCACGTCTCTCCTCCCAAACTCCAAAGGAAATCAAGGGCCTTGGGAGCCAAAAGCTACAAGAGAAGGGGAAAAGAAAAATAATCCCATGGTGTCAGAAGTGCTGGAAGCAGGGGGAAGGGAGAGTGAGGCAAAGAGAGGAGGCATGGGCTGCAAACCAGCCCAGCTGGGCACGGCTGAGCAGCGGGACGGAGGGAAGGGAAAGGAGAGGCAGCAGGCAGCAGAGTGAGGGTGGAACAGGAGAAAGGCCAAGGGAGGGAAACCCAGTAAAGGCAGGCAGGGATGAAGCAGCAGGAGGAAGCCTGAGCTCTTGGGGCATGCAGATCCCCCAGTCTTAGCGCAGGATGCACTCGGGCTGCAGTGGGAGCACCTCTGGGGCAAGGGGCAGAGCGTGGGGCTGAGCAGGCAGGGATGTGCCAGGCAGCAGCAGCAGCATTGGAAGCACAGGCAGAGCAGTGCTGTGGCCATGCCAGGAAGCAGGATTAGCCCTAGGGGACCGCGGAGCACGAGGCGAAGCTTTCGAGGATGTTCCCAGCTTGCCTTTAACTCGTTCCAGCACTGAGTGCGTCCAAGGGACACCACCGGGGCTCCAGTGGTGGGGAAGTCCTATGGCGGGGTGTGGGTGTCCCTGTGTTGGTGCTGTCAGGGAGCCACACGGCTCCTCCCTGCCGAGGTGTGAAGGGGTTGTTGGGTTTGGCCAGTGTGGAGCTATTGTGGCCACCGGGTGTTGCCAGGCTTGTGGCCATCAGGGCGGCCTGGAGCCAGCACAACCAGCTCAGGCAGCAGGGACACAGCCCTTGCTGGGGCAGGGATCCCCTCCGTGCACTATGGGGCCACCAGCTTGAGACTCATCCATCTCCCCAGGGCTCTGCAAGGCCCTCACCCCACTGAGGGCACAGGCAGCAGACAGGCAGCATCCCCTGTGCCCCTTCATTCCTGCTCAGACCCCCCCACACCAGCCCTGGCTTCCCTCCCCAAAAGAGCCACCTTCTCCACGGGGTTTTGCCAGCTGCTCGTGTTCTTTATTCTGCTTAGCTTTGGGGTTAAGGAATATGGGCAGTCCTGGGCTCTTCTTCTGCCTGCTCCATTTGGGGAGCATTAAACCCTTCCCCTTTTAGGCTAGCAGCTGTGGGAAAGAGGCCTGGAGATGCTGAAAGAGAGAAATGGGCTGGGAACCACGCACAACCCCAACATGGGGCTGGCTGAGGATGGGGAAGCAGCACCCAACTCTTGCCCCCATCCTGCTGCTCAGCAAGGGGACTTTGCACGGTGCCACCAGCACAGCTCCAACCTGTGGGTACAACCCCTTCAGCACAAGCCTTTCCCTGTAGCAAGGCTGGGAAGAGGCACTTGCTCTCCGTGGCATCCTTGAGCTGAGCTGGCTCTGAGCGAAGGGCAGGTGAGGAGCTAGGCAATGGGGTGCTGCTGATGGGGGACACCCCATTAGTTGGGTATTGGCAGCAGGAGGAGGATGGGAGGGACATTTGGGGCAGGGCAGCGGCTGCTTCAGCCCTGGCTCATCTCTTGCCGGGTCAGGGCTGGAAGCACTCTATGGGGTCATTGGAGTCAGGCAGGATGTTGCAGTTGATGGGCCAGAGGATGCCGAGGAGGCCGAGGGAGTGCTGGCACCGCAGCTCAGCAGCCACGCACACGGCTCGGCAGGGCTGCAGGACCCCCCCATCCGGGGTGCACTTGGGCACGAAGAGGCTGCAGATGAGGAGTCGGAGGTGCTGGTAGCAGGCGAGCTCCATCAGCGTCTGCGGGAGAGCGGCAGTGACTGCGCACACCACGGAGCGCTGCGGGCAGCCCTGCCAGCATCCCTTGGGAAGCTCACCTGATAGTCCTGGAGCACCTCAGCGGCTCCCTGCTGGTCCGGGATGGCCAGCCAGATGTTGGGAAAGGAGGTGGCGTTGTAGCCCAGCCCCAGGCACATCTCCACTTGCACAGGCTCACAGACAGACCCTGCCCCAGGGCACTTATATAGCAGCAGTCATGCCCACCCAGTGCCGCGGTGCTGGGCCAGGGTGAGGGGTGGCACTCACCAAAGGCTGGGTAGGAGACCCCGGTGCAGTTCAGCTCATCGGTGCCATCGGGGCAGTCGTGCCACCCATCACATACAGACTCCAGCACCCGGCACTCGCCATTCCCACAGGAGAACTCTGTGGGGCTGCAGGTCTCTGTAAGAGCAGTATGGATATGGGGAGAGAGCAGGCTGGGGCTCAGCCTGTTCCCATGCTTTACTCTTCTTCAGGTGACCATTGCTGGCCCAGCTTAGGGGCACCCCAAATTCCCTGCGTTATCTAGGGGCCAGCCCTCAGGTGATGGATCATGATGTGTGCAGGGGAGCAATCCACATTCCAATCCTGTAGCCCAAATTCCTGCTCCAAGCAGATGGGAGCAGGTTTTCCCAGGGTCTTACCCAGTGTGGGTGGGTTTGAAGGCCCCCAAGGACTGCAGAGCCCCTCTGTGCAGCCTGTGCCCCTGCTTGGCTACTTACTCTCTGTGGCATTGCGGGCTTGGTAGGTGGCAAAGAACCCATCATCCGCAACCCCTTCATCAGCCACGAAGAGGACGGTCAGGACGTGGCGGGAGGAGGTCAGGATGGGTGGCAGCTGATGCCCACAGAACCTGCCCAGGTTGGGGGTGAGAGATGGGGTCAGGGTGGGCAGCACCTCCCCAGCCCCTGCCCTGTGCATGGGAGCCACAGGAGCCCAGTGCACTGAGGCTGGTGCAGCAGGGCCAAGGGATACCACAGCCTGTACCTGCCCATGAGGCTGGCAGCCCCGGTGCCGGCGCTGTCGTGCACCTCCACGAAGTCAAAGCTGCAGTCCTCATGCATCTCCAGGCTGAAGTTGTGGAAGTGCAGGTCGATGACGTGCCCCACGGGCACCGAGATCTGCCAGAGGCACAGCTGGGGGGAGCCGTGATGCCCATGAAACCAGGCTCTTCCCAATGGCAGGTTGCTCCCGCCTCCATCCCTTCTCTCACCTGCTGGTGCGGGTATGGCTGGGGATGGTTTGGGGTGGAGAAGTGCCCCTCCAAGGCGGTTAGTGGCCCCCCACACTCTGAAGGGACACACACACACATGCAGCTTTACCCCCTGCCCATCTCCCTTTGCTCTGTCTCCTCACTCCCCCGCCTCCCGCCGCCCATCACCGTGCCCTCTGGGCGGGCGCTGCAGGGGCTATGGGCAGGGGTAAACGCTGACCTTTGTGTTTGAGGCTGCAGTTGGCCTCATCGCTCTTGTCCGTGCAGTCATGGAAGCCATCGCAGACAAAGCCCAAGTGGAGACACAGCCCCTGGTCACACAAGTGCTCATCCCAGGCACAGCTCCCTGGCAGAGACAGCCAGGCTGGTGGTGCCATCCCACTGGGCACCCTCCCATGCTCCGGTACCACAGTGCTACCCAGTGCCCGCAGTGAGGAGTCCGAGTGATGCGCAGGGAGGGGGTACTCACTGTCACTGGGGGCCACAGCACGGTAGTGGGCACTGAAGCCTGGGGCACCCACGCTGCTGTCCGAGACGAAGGTGACACGCAGGTGGTTGGAGTTGGTGTTGAAGGTCGGGGGTACCACATTGCCACAAAACCTGGGGGCACAGCACGGGGTGACACCGCTCACCCCATCCCCACTGCATCGCCACGCTCCCCCGGTGCGAGGTGCCCTTACCTGGTCGGACCCCCCCTAAGTGTTGCAGGGTCCGTGCTGCCGGCACCCTGCTCTTCATAGAGCTCCACACGGTCAAAGAGGCAGGAGGCAGTGCCCTCCACGCTGAACGTCTCCATCTTCAGCTGGATGGCGAGGCCGGGGCTCACCTCGATGCGCCAGATGCAGAGTGAATCAGGGGGGTACGGGCTGGGGTAGTTGGGGGAGCTGAAGGAGCCCTCGGGGCTCCGCAGGGTCCCACCGCAGGCTGTATGGGGCAGTAGTGTGGGTATGAGACGGTGCTGCAGGGCACCGCTGTCCCAGCGCGCTGCCCCACACGGCACTTACCCGGTGCCGCGGTGCCGGTGGTGGGCAGCCAGCTCTGGGTTGGGGTGGCAGCAGTTCTGGGGGCCCTTCGGGTGGGTGCTGCGGCTCCATGGGCAGGCAGGGCTGCGGCTGGGGCATGGGGTGGCTGCGGGGATGTCAGCTCTGTGCCCGGGGAAGAGCAGGCGCAGCTCAGCCCCAGCAGGGCTTAGGAAGCCCACCCAGCCCCGTGCCCTGTGTGTGCGGGTCCCACAGTGACCTTCCCCATCCCACGGAGGTGCTGTACGGAATGGATGCCCTCTCCGTGCTCATGCACTCACGGTGGATAACGATGCCCATCAGGAGGGCGATGAGGAAGATGAGGACCGCGCTCATCAGAGCCACGCAGAGCCAGGTGAACTTGAAGTCAGCACGGAACCTCCAGCCTGCCCGCCCCCAGAGCTGCTGGCCTGTGGGAGGCAAGGGGAGAGGGCAGAGCAGCAGCACTGCGAGCAGCCCCACCGTGATAACGGGTCCCTAAGTGCTCCGTGGGGGGGAGCTTTGCCCATCACCCTGCTCCCCAGCTGGTGCCTGCGCACAAACCCCAGGCTGGTACCGAGGCCGTCCCGCTGCGATGTGGGGCTGCTCCCATCCTCATCTGCTGTGCTTGGAGCTGCCCGGGGCTCCTCACCCTCAAAGACGGGGTTGCAGAACTCGGTCTGCAGGAGAGTGAGCACCATGAGGAGCACGCAGCAGGGACCCATCAGTGCCACCCCCCCCAAGCCCTACCTTGCTGTGGTCCAGAGCCTCCGGGCAAAGCACGATCTCAGTGAAGTCCTTCATGGCAGCAGCTGGGCTAAAAGCCTCCCCAGCACACCCTGCCCCACAGCACAGCCCCCTGCCCCACTGCCTGCTCCTCCCCAGCTGCCCCCATTGGCCCTGGGGTGCTGTGGGACCCCCGCTCCACCATGCACCAAGGCAGAGGTGGTGGCAGTGCTGGCTGTGTCTACATGGGCTGCCCCGGCACCGGACCCCTTGGAACCCCAAGGGCCATTCCCACTGTGCAGTCCCAGCCCCCTCGGCAGGCCCCTTGCCCTGTTAATCCAGCTCAGCTGAGGATGCCGAGGTCAGGCTCTGGCACAGAGAACCAGCGTCTTAAAGGGGAATGTGTGCTTGCACCCACTGTGCTGGGAGCCCATCCAGCCGGGGACCTTGCTTTTGGGTCCTTGGGTCCAGGGACCTTGCTTTGGCAGCATTGGTTTGCCTGCTGTTTCCAGGTCCCCATCAGTCAGGGCAGCACCGAAGGGGCTGTGTTGGGGACATTGAACACATCGCTCCTTGCCTTGTGCCTCCCCAGCACTGAATGCTTGAGCCTTTCCACCTTCATTCCCACTCAATGCCCTGGTGCCCGTCCCCGTTCCTAAGAAGGGGAGAAAGGGGCCATTGTTCATGGGCTTTATAGGGCTGATGCAGGAGGAAAGGCTCCCTCTGCCTCCGCAGGTGGCTGGAGGAGAGGGGCTGCTGCCTGCATCCGTCGCTCCAGGCACGCCTTGGGGCACGGATGCTCTTGAGGCTCTGGTGATGTTTCCCTCTGGCTGCTGGAGCCACATTCCTTCCTGTGCCCACCCAGAGACAAGCACAGGCACACAGCAATCTGTCCAAGCTCAGATTTATTCCTGCACGAGTCTCCCTTGTATGAGACACTTCCCACCCATCTTGCTTACACAGTAAACAAGCCACCTGCCAAGCAGCATTGCCGCCCCAGTCCGGTACCTGCCGCGGGCAGCCCCTCCATCCGAGCCCCACTGGGATGCTCCGTGTGTGCCCGCGGCGCCAGCGAGGGCAAAGGAGAATGGGTTTGCTGGGTTGGATGTAGCTGCCTTGCGGGCTGGGGCTGGGATGGGGCTGGGTCGGGCCCATCTCTCCTCCAGCTGCACCTCAGGCAAGGCAGGATGGGGAGGAGAATAAGTTAAAGGCTTAAAAGGCCACTGGCATTTGCTAGCCAGAGCACAGAGCAGCAGGGCTGGGGGGGGGGGGACACGCACCCCCGGGGCCAAGAAAACCCCAATCGCAGATGGTCCCGGAAAGCTGCTGCCCTTCCCTCCCTCCCTCTCCTCCACAGGATGGATGTTTCTGTGCAACCCCAATGGCCTCCCGCTCCCCCCGAAGGGTTTAAGGCACCGTCGCGTGAGGATGCAGGTAAAAACCTACCTGAAGCATCCCCCGGCACAAGTCCCTGGAGAGCCAGGAAGCAGCGGGGTGCTCCAGGTTGAGCAAAGTCCACTATAAATACATAGAAATCCCACAGACGGGTTTCCTCCTTCCTGTCCGTGAGTCTCGCTTCGAGGAGCGTGCGTGGGGCAGCTGCTGCCCCAAATGGGACGGAGGCGACCGAAGGGCTCAGGTCCTTTGCCGGGAGGTTTGGAAGTGCTGGGAGGAGGCCGGGAGCAGTTCACAGATCCTCCGGGATGGCCGAGCAGAATGGGAGAGCCAAAAGAGGCCAGGAGGGATGCGGGAGGCGCTCTCCTGGGTGCCCAGCTGAGGATGCTCCCGCAGGGGAGCAGAGGTCCTGGCTGAGTCAATGGGGCCGGCAGCCCCATGCCCGCGGTGTCCCTTGCTCAGTGCTTTTATTACACACCAACCAAAAAGAGAAGAAGAAAGAAACCAAAGCGTACCCCAAGGTAAAACACCAGCGAGCAGGAGGTGTCTGAGCTGCCGGGGCCCTGCCCTGCTGATGCTTGCCCTGATGCTTGGAGCTGGGGTGTTCCTTGCTCGGGGTCTGCTCCTTGGCTGCCTCCAGCCTCCCGCTGCAGCCACCTCGGGGTCCTTCCTCTTCACCTCCTCCTGCACTTGTGGGGCCGGTAGTGAGGGGTGTCGCAGGGGATCCCCAGGCAGGCAGGGCTGGCTACATGCGGGAGGACGGGCTGGCCAGTTCGTAGAAGAGCAGGTAGGCATCGCTGCTGCGGACGTGGCTGGATGACATCGGGGTAACACTGCGGACATGGGGAGATGCGCTGTGAGCAATGGGGACAAGGCACCAGGATGATGCTCTGCTTGCCCTGACCCTGCACCCCACGCTCAGCCTCACCGGGAGTCATTGAAACTGTGCCACTCGCTGGAGATGGGGCTCTTGCAGTAGGCAGTGTAGTGTCCCCCCATGGTGGTGCCCGAGTGGTTGGAGACGGCGTAGAGGTTGTAAACGGCGTGGTCTGTGGGGAGCAAAGGGATGCTCAGCCATGCAGCCTGCTGCCCTGCTGTCCCCCAGTATGCCAGCACGGAGCTGGGGCCAGGAGGGAGCAGTCCCCATGGCTCTGCCCCCCAGCACTGCACTCACTGCAGCTCTGCGAGGCGAACTCCCGGAGGTCCAGGTCCTTGAGCTGGAAGTTGATGAAGGTTGTGAGCTTGCTGGTTCGTATTCTAGCCTCTGAGAAGCGCTTCAGGTCTGAGCATCAGGTCAAGGAGGACAAAGGATAAAGGGGAGCCTGCGAGGAACTGCCTGTCCCCCCCACCCAGCACCCCTGGCCCCATCCCTCTGCCGGAAGGATACGGAGCACCAGGATCTTGGGGAACTTCTGGATGCTGAATTTCTTTGTGCACCTTGTCCTGGCTTTGCAGCGACAACATGTCTGTGGGAGACAAACAGCATGAGGAGGAGGGTGAGAGCAGAGGGCAGCCCCACAGTGCTGGCAACACAGGCACGGAGGGAAAGGGGCCCAGCCTGCATCAAGGCAAGCCCCATGCCTCCCGCCCCATACCGGTTTCTCATCCCCATCCAGCACATCCTCTTTGGTGAAGAGCCGTAGGCAGTCCATGAGGGTCACCTCCCCATAGCTTTTCTGCGGGAGCATAGTGTGGATTAAGGACAGGGTGTACAGGGCAGGGTGCTGGGGGTTAGGGATGGAGAGCACCCCTTACCTTGGGGATGGGCAGGGACAGGTCCCAGAAGGGATCGAAGGCTGTGGAGCAGTATCCGCACTCACTGCAGGTCAGTGAACTCTTCAGCTGCCCAACGAAGAGGTCTGGTGGGACAAAGGTGGGACAAAGGCAGGTGAGACCCCAGCCCTGCTCCCAGCCCTGCCCTCCTCTCCCCACAGCCCCGCTCACCGCTGATGCGGCTGTCCTCCCTCTCCTGGTACCTCCTCCACATCTGCCGGCTCTTCTCATCGTCACTGCAGGAGATGGGCACACACAGTGGTACGAAGTGCGGCTGAGGGGCCCCGGTGACGACCCCAGAGCGGACCCACATAATCCCCCTCCCTGGGCAGAGCCTGCATCCTCCGCCCCATCCCGCACTTACGGGAGGTGGTCCAGGGTGTCCGTGCTTGCCCGTGGCCGCACCAGCACACGGTTCACCTCGCTGTGCAGCCCGTCCAGGAGGAACCGCAGGAACTCCTGTGCATCCTGCTGGCTGCAAGACACAGTGCATGGCCAGTGAGCAGCAGCAGGAGCACAGCACCCCCCCCTTAGGACCCCCGCTGCACCAACACCCCTTACTTGTAGCCGACAAAGCGGGGTGCGTATCTCTGGATCTGGATCTTGAACTCAGAGGGGCTCACGCTCTCGTTGGGGGACGAGGTCCAGAGCAGCTGAAGCAGCTTTGCAAACTCTGTGTGCACAGAGGCAGGTTTCCAGTGCAGGTCCCAATGATGGGACCCACGGCACAGCGCCGAGGCTGGGGGATGTGGGGTGTCCCCGGGGAGCATAGGCAGGGGCTGGTGCGGGGTGGTTACCTGACATGAGCGCGGTGCGCATGCGGCTGTTGTTGTTGAGGTCCCGCAGGTACTGGTTCTGCAGGCAGTAATCCCGCAGCTCCTTGGTGTTGCTCAGGCACTGCAGGATGGAGTTCATGAAGCACTGGGGGAGGCAAAGAGAAAACCATGGCAACGAGAGGCAGAGGGAGGCAGGCGGTGGAAGGGGGACACGCAGGGCGGGTGGGCAGGGGATAGGGATGAAGCTTCCGCTCTTCCTCAGCGAGCTCCATTGGGATTGGGGTGTGAATGCTGGTGATGGAGGGGGGTGAGGCAAAGGGATGGGGCTTCCCTCTGCCCCATAGATGTGCCAGCAGAAGGCATGGTGTGAGCTGGGACCCCCAGCCGGGTGCCTGGGTTGGCACTCACCGTGTTGCCGAGGTTTCGCAGGCCAGTGAGCCCCTGCACCACCTTGGAGCTCTGCAGAGAGAAGGAACAGGGCTGAGACAGTGTCCAGGACAGGGTGTTCACGCTGTGGGCAGCACAGTGAGGCCATGGGGCCGTGCAGCAGCCCTTCAAGTGCAAGCAGAGCCCCTATCTCCCTATGGGCATCATAGGCAGCCCCGCTGTTGCTTTGCGCTCCGGATGCACACAGGACCGTAGCCAAGGACCCAGAGGGAAGCCATGGCTGGCCTGCCCCATCCCGCCTGCCCCACTGCTGCTGCTCGGCTCCCTGGACAACGTGCAGCGTTCAAAGTTCTCCCTGCCTGGTGCCACCGCTGCCCCATGCCCTGGGCTGCAGGCCAGATCAAACACCCCTTCCTCCTCCCATTGCCAGCCCTGTGCCCTGGGAAGCCGTGGGGTGTGGAAGGCTGCAGGAGGTGCCCCGTGCCCCACTGCTGCCTGCCTTGCCCACGCTGGGTACCCCCCCCTTGCACAAGCACACCCAGACTGTGGCACAGGATAAAGTCCATCTGGGGAAGTGCAAGCCCAGCCCTGCAGCAGTGAGGGCAGGCATGGGGCTGCATGTCCTGCAGTGCCCTCCCAACCACTCGCTGGGCTATGGGTCACTCCCAGGGCCACCGGTATTCCCTGAGCCAGGCAGGATCATGCCAAGCAGAGACAGCCACAGGCAGTGGGGTGATGGGGACAGGA